CCTTCAGGAAGTTGTGGAGGAGCATGGGCCTGCAGAGGATAGAGCACAGTGAAGACGCGTTTTTTTGAGGTGTTGAAGAGGTTCCTGGAGAGAGCATCAGTGTGTGTGTGGGGGAGTTCCCTACAACGAGTCGAGAGCCAGGACCAGGAGCTTCAATCCAACTCTCAACAGAGGGTGAGTCCACATCAGTGAGGTGGAAGTAGGTAATTTAGATTTCCCTCCCATTCCCCTTTAGTCAGCTATTTTAGCCAGAGTATCTTCTATGTCGTGAGCAGGGCTCACCAATGTCTATGTCATAGTAAGGCACAGTTGTGAAGAGAGAGCTCTCATGGAATATATATGTGGTGTGTGAGTGCACCTGCGATTTATCGAAGAGTCTGCTGTGTCAAGGACATTTATACTCATGTGACATTAATATTATAAGTTTGTGTCAGAGAATATATATATGTATAAATGTACCATTTATTAGTATAAGGCTGTGTGCCCCGTATTGACTCATTATTGCTAATATTGATGAAGTGATCTATATATATGCTGGAGTATTGAATAACATATTCATGTGTACAGTGATTTGCTGTGTTATTGCCATTGAAGAGACTTACGGTATTTAAGGCCAGTGCAGTGACTTATTGCATTTATTACCATTACTGTGATATACGGTGTTTAATGCATTACTGTGAGCTACTGTGTTAATTGCCATTGAAATGAATTATTGAGCTCAAGGCCAGTGCAGTGATCATTGCGTTTAATGCCATTATAGCATGTTATTGTGTTGATTGCCAGAATCGTGTTTGCTGTGAATTGAAAGAAATAGGCGCTTAACGCCAGGGAAACAAGTACAGAGAGAGACCATACAGCGAGAGGGCGTGGCAGCTGTGAATGACAGGAGGCGGAGTGTTGCCGTCTGGTTGCGCTCCAGTTTATGAAGAGGGAGTATTCCGCTGCCAGGTATTTCATCGCCTTGTTGTTGATATATAATACTTTAATATTTTAAGTAAAATACAAAACTACCTTTGCGTTTGCATTATCCCTCCATTGCTTGTTGCTACAGAGTCCATTGAAAGAGTGAGTGATAGACACACATACCTACCTGATACCAGATTTATTTAGTGTGCTCTTGACACTATTACCACAATCCCACGATACCACTGACGTGTTACTGGACACGGGAAACACCAGTTGGCGACCTTTCAGTTAGCAGTAGAGCCCTCTGTCGGGGCGGGCACATGATCAAGAGAGTAGATCGTGTTCCCACTCGTCTTTGGCTAGGAGGCCAGCTGGAGATTGACTGGGAAACTCTCCAGGTGAACAGTGGCACCTCGAGGATGGAGTGAAGACCCGCAGGGCTACAGTAAGTAACAGTTACCACTACTAGTACTTGGTAGTGGCTGGTGAGAGGTAGAGAAACCCCGACATTGTCGATACTGACAGGATATCAAGAATGGTTATTTACTTACTTACTGATTTAAGCGAATCCCCGACATTGGTGACCCTGCCAGGATTCTAAGTACGGTTAATTACTGACGAAACTCCGACATTGGCGACCTTGCCAGGATTCTAAGTATGGTTACTTACTGATGAAACCCCGACAGTAACGTGAACAGTTAGAACAAGTACTGTATTAAATTTATTTTATTTTATTTTATTTTTATTTATATATATACAAGAAGGTACATTGGGTTTGAGAGAATACATTGGATAGTACAGTATTTACATTCTTGTAAAGCCACTAGTACGCGCAGCGTTTCGGGCAGGTCCTTAATCTAGCAGATAATTTTAAGTAGGTAATTTCAATCAGAATTGATAAATGAAAGATACATTACAAGAGAAAAATGAGATGAGAGAGATAAGTATTTAAGTGTGTAAATAGAGTTAAAATTAAAGTTGCAGTAATTTTAGTGTACAATAGTTTTCATAAATTGTATTGTAGTACTCGACATACAGCAGAACTACTTAAACAACTCAGTGCTAACGGCATAATACACTACAATACATATTTACTGTACAGCATTCACAACTCCTTGCAACTTCAAGATGGACATAACTCCAACAATGAGGTAATAACAAATGTAACAGTATTTTTTAGTGGAGTAGTAATATATAGGTACAGTATATAATATGATAATGCATTTTTATTGTGTACGAGAAAAAAGAGACACTGACACAAACGCTGCCTGAAGGTCACCTCTTGCAAAGAATCCAACGCTCCAACGCACTGGGGTTGGTCCCATATAGTGCGTTAAATCGAGGTTGTACTGTACGAATAACACCTGTCCCTAAAATTGTACATTACTCTTATTTTCTTTGTACACATTTTTTTTAATGCAAACTACAGTAGTACCGCCATTTACAAATTTAATCCCTTCCCAAAGACAGGTCCTATCTCAAAAATTTATAACTCGAAACTAATTTTCCCATAAGAAATAATGTAAATTGAATTATTATTTTTGAGTGTGTAATGGATTAACTTAAAAGAACATTTTATACAGAATACTACTCATATTTTCGTACACAAAACAATCAGGTATAAATACAAACCGTAAATAAGTGAACATTTATCTGTACTTTTCCTTTACTGAGGACACTTGTTGGCGTATGGGAGACAGTGAGGAGGGAGGAGCAGTGTTGGTGAGACCGTCCCGTGCACACCTTAAGCGCATTCATATCTGCATCACTGGTTCCAGATTTTCCCTTCACACATTTCACTGCCTTTGGTATGTGGCAGCCAGTCAGTCACAACATGGCAGACAAGCATTCACAGTCAAGACCAGTCACAGGCAGTCATAACCAAAGACATTCACAGTTGTGGTAGCAACCAGTTGAGCACTCACAGTCAATCAGGCATTCACAGTCGCAACCAGTCAGAGTGTTAACAAACAATAAGATTAATGTCAGGCGCTCAGAGTCTGCTTCCCGATCTATCAGCTAGTAGCAAGGAAGCCCACCGTATTAATACCGTCCATATGGCTGGGAGAGGTACAGCTGGGGGGAGGGCAGTGTGGGGGATGAGGAGATAGATGTAGCAGGAAGGACCTGTGTGGGGGATGGGGAGGTCTCGGGGAGGGACCTGGGGTGACCAGCTCCTGCGTTAGTCCTAGCCAGAAGCTGGTCCACTCACCCACCCTGACCACCCTCGTCCTGCTACCCACCTACCCTGACCATCCCCGTCCTGCTACCCACCTACCCTGCAACCCGTTCTCGCAAATTCGTAAAGTCAATATTGACTTATTAACTACGTGCATAGGTGATATACTAAACATAATAGATACCCTTAAAAAGGTTTATAGAAAACACCGACCTTACCTAACCTTGTTAGTATCTTAAGATAAGCATCTTATTGCTTCGTAATTACAATTATTACCTAACCTATACCTATTATAGGTTAAGTAATAATTGTAATTACGAAGCAATAAGATGCTTATCTTAAGATACTAACAAGGTTAGGTAAGGTCGGTGTTTTCTATGAATCTTTTTAAGGGTATCTATTATGTTAAGTATGTCACCTATGCACATATTTAATAAGTCAATATTGACTTATTAAATTTGCGAGAACGGGTTGTACCCTGACCACCCCCGTCCTGCTACCCACCTACCCTGACCACCCCCGTCCTGCTACCCACCCACCCTGACCACCCTTGTCCTGCTACCCACCCTACCCTGACCACCCCCGTCCTGCTACCCACCTACCCTGACCACCCCCGTCCTGCTACCCACCTACCCTGACCACCCCCGTCCTGCTACCCACCCACCCTGACCACCCCCGTCCTGCTACCCACCCACCCTGACCACCCTTGTCCTGCTACCCAACCTACCCTGACCACCCCCGTCCTGCTACCCACCTACCCTGACCACCCCCGTCCTGCTACCCACCTACCCTGACCACCCCCGTCCTGCTACCCACCTACCCTGACCACCCCCGTCCTGCTACCCACCTACCCTGACCACCCCCGTCCTGCTACCCACCTACCCTGACCACCCCCGTCCTGCTACCCACCTACCCTGACCACCCCCGCCCTGCTACCCACCTACCCTGACCACCCCCATCCTGCTACCCACCTACCCTGACCACCCCCGCCCTGCTACCCACCTACCCTGACCACCCCCGCCCTGCTACCCACCTACCCTGACCACCCCCGTCCTGCTACCCACCTACCCTGACCACCCCCGTCCTGCTACCCACCTACCCTGACCACCCCCGTCCTGCTACCCACCTACCCTGACCACCCCCGTCCTGCTACCCACCTACCCTGACCACCCCCGTCCTGCTACCCACCTACCCTGACCACCCCCGTCCTGCTACCCACCTACCCTGACCACCCCCGTCCTGCTACCCACCTACCCTGACCACCCCCGTCCTGCTACCCACCTACCCTGACCACCCCCGTCCTGCTACCCACCTACCCTGACCACCCCCATCCTGCTACCCACCCATCCACCCCTGACCATCTGTCCTGTTACTCACCCACCCACTTACCATCGATACTGCTACCCACCCACCCACTGACGACTGGTCCTGCTACTCAACTGCCCATCTACTGTCTCCTGACTGCCCTGCTATCCACCTGCTCTGTGTCCGCCCTGTCACCCACCTCCTTAGTCTACTATCTGCCACCCACTTATTCTGTTCCGCCCGCCCCGATACTCATCCATCCACCAGTACCTGCCCAGCCACTCGCCTTCCATGTGTTCCTTCCTTACATGATTCTAGGGCTGGTGTTTCTAAAAGATTTTCTTTCCAGTCCCCTTCCCCACCACCAGCCACCATGTCCCACTCACCTGCCATCCATCTTGTCCCCCCCCAAAATCCATCCAGTTCCCCCACCATCCATCCAGTTCCCCACCATCCATCCATGCATTCAGTCCTCTCATCATCTATCCATTCAGCCAGTCCCCTCACCATCCATCCATCCAGACTATGTACAGGCTTCCTGTCCCCAGCAATGAGGATTATATGGTATCATGGACCAAACAAGGTCCACCACACTCCAGGTTTCACTTACCTGGAGAGTTGAACAACACCAATAGGCTTGTTGAGGCTTGATTGTGGGAGGGAAGTTTTAAAAACCAATTTAGCCTTTCTGTAGTATGTATGGGTATCCAAGTAAGGGCTGGCCACAAACACATCTGAGGAAAAGATAGAAAAAAAAACAGCATTGAATGTAATGAAACGCCATTTTTCTGGGTGTGACCCGGAGCCTCCCTGGAGCTTACTAGGCTGATATGCTAATGTCAGACTTTGGCCTCTGTCATGTGTATGGAGTGGAGAGTGGAGTAAGTTCTGTGGGCCTAACAGGGACCATGAGCCAGAACCTGGCCCCCTCAAAAAGGCATTGGGAGCAATGGCCTATATAAACCCCGGTATGGTTGGAAGCATTCTATGTCTGTCATTGACCGAGTCTGGCACCCAGAAAGGTAAGCATACCAAAACAAACCCATATTTTGGTGAAAATACTGCTACCAAAAGCCGAACAAGTATACAGAACTCCCCTAAAAGAAATGAGCAAACGAGTAGGACGTCGGACGTCACCGCGCCGCTGTCTGCGCAGCTCCCCCCTCCCCGGGGAAAGGGAGAAGGGGGAGCCCCAGACCCCTCATGCCGGCTATCCACCCGTCTGTTCTGAGGCTGGATGTCAAAACACCCAAAAAAACGCCGACCGGAGGGGAGGGAGGGATGCCGGGGAACCTCCGGGTCAAACCCAGAAAATGGCATTTCATTACATTACATTCAACGGTGGTTTTCTGGGGGAAGCCCTGTCGGCTCCCTGGAGCTAACTACCCACAGAGGAAAACAATAGGGACTTACCTGGGAGGCAGTTGCTACTCACTCCTCATCTCGAAGTCAAGACAACCGGCTGCAACCACCGACCCAAAGTGACACAGGCCCGACTGGGCCCTGGAACGTGCATGAAGTAACAAGCAGCCTGGACCCTGTTCGACCGCCAAAAGCCCTGCGCCCGAATGTCAGCCCAGGACATGTTGCCCGAGACGGCAGCAAAAGCAGCGAACTTACGAATGTCATGGGCACAGGAATAGACCGCATGCTGGCCAGCCTGAAGAACCCTGCGAACAACCTGGGAGACCCGCACACGCGAACAGGGAAGAAGGGAAACTGGAGCAACTCAAAGCTCGTCCCCGGACACAGAGGCCAAGGCACGCAAGTAATTGCGGAGAGTCGCAACCGGACAAAAAAAGCACCCCAGCCTGACCAACAGAGCATCTAGAACTGAAGGACCCCTCCGGAAGGCAGTAGTGTCAATCACCGCCCAAAAAGGAGACGGCAGCAGATAAACAACCTATCGCCATGACTGAAGGAGCGTATGATGCTCACCAACTCGACCCCTAGAGGCCAACGCCAACAGAAAAGAGCCTCCAAGAAACAAACCCGAACCGAAGGGGCCCACAACAAACCATGAAGAAAAAAAAAAGAGCACTCAGTCCAAATACCAGGACTGTTCAGGCGGCGCACAAGCAGGCCGGAGGTGAACAACACACGAGACAGCTTGCAAAACGGCACAGACGTAACACCAATACCAAAAGCAAGCTGAAGCGGCTCCGCCATCACCGCAGGATACGAGGCGACAGTATGGGTCAAGATGATGGGCCCCAAACCTCTACAAAAGAAGGACAAGATCACGCAAACAAATGCAGCTACCAAAGAAGGGACAGAAGGAAAAGGAAGGACGGCCAAAAAAACCCACACTGCCACCAAGGAGAAGCACACAGGTGGGACACCATGAACGAAACCACCCGATCACCAACAGAAGGCGAGAGACTAGGCAGAAACCAAACTAGCCCCGTCATGGGCCAATCGAGCCTAGGAAGAGGCGGAGCCGTGGGAAGACCTTGGGTGCAATGACAGAGCCAGCAGAGCTGGAAACCCAAGCCGGCAAGGGAGGAGATGGAATGCCTGCCGTACAGAAAAAGATCCCAACGCCAGTGAGCCCGCCAGGAGATCGGAGACGACGGCTCCGATGCGAGACTCCAGAGAACCGACACCACGAGACCGTAAAATGCCAACAGAAAGGGAAGCCAGGAAGGCACAAACAAAACACACAACAATGTGTAGCAAACAGAATGAAAGGTGCAAAGGTATGTCACCAGACTAGTACCCAAACCAAGGAGTACAAGCAACGAGGATAAGATCACCAGATTCCAGAGTCACAAAGAAATCAATAGGGTAGAGAAAGACCGACTACACGACCCCAGGGGCACATGCACCAAGGAGCACTGGTGGAAAAAGAGCCCCAATGAGCCAGAGAAATATTGGAAAGAAAAAGGCAGTGGCAGAGTAGGAGACAAACGGAACGCATGAGGAAGCAATGTGGAGGAGGATGACACCACACACAGCTTCCAATGGAGACACGGCAGAGCCCAGCAGGCACAGGATCCCCCACATCAGCGAATGACAGGTGAGAAGCGGGACCAAAAAGCCAGAGCTCCACTCGTGCAAACACAACTACAGAAGAACAACTAGGGAAGCACAGAGAAACCAATGTATACGGAAGGGCTAAGCCAGGCACCGCAAGACGGGCCAAAACTCCACAATCAATCCCAAAAACGCAACCACAGTAAGAAAACTGCAGCAAAACGTCACCTTATAACATCCTGAAAGTAATATTTAACCTATAACATACACCCGCACCATCGTACCTCGTAACCTGGTGGAGGTCGGGCCCCGTGCCAGACTCGAGCATGGGTTGTACATAAATAAGAGTGGGACTGGATGGGTATAAATAGGAGCTGCCTCATAAGGCCCAAGAGGCCAGCTGCAGTCACCTGTGTTCCAATGTTCGTATATCTGTAGCCATAACCTCAAACCAGCACCTGGCTGATGCCAGACCGCAGAAACTCACCTGCAGAACGTAGGCACGAACGTGTCACGACAGAATGTAGCCGAGAAGATGTCGGGAGCACCGCCAGTGAAAGAAGGCAAAGCCACACATGCAGGAGAAGAGTAGAGGAGAGACGAAGGAGGAGCCCCACACCCACACGCAGGGAAAACCCGGCATTCTCCCCATAGCGGCAATCCAGAACACCCCCAGTAGCCAAGGGGCACAAACTGGAGAATTGAGAGGAGCGAGAGGTGAAGCACCCGAGAGAAAAAGATGCAGAACACCAGCACACGTGCACACTGCCCACATCAAAACTACCATGGCACATGCGCAGGCAGGGATGCCAGATGTGTGTCACAAGAAGTCGCGAGCCGATGAAAGAAAAACACGAAATTGACTAGAAAACTAGACAAAATAGTGTTAACAATTGAATCCCTTTTCAGAGCACACAGGACAGCCAGTAACAGACGAAAAAAAGCAGTAAGGAGCGAAACATACATAGCATATCCCTTCTGTGGCTACAAGTAGCCCAATCTGGCAACCCTGTTACCTGGTTGATGGGGGGTCTGGGAGTAGTTCTACTCCCCCAATCCCAGCTTGAGGCCAGGCTTGACTTGTGAGAGCTTGGTCCACTAGGCTGTTGCTTGGAGCGGCCCGCAGGCTCACATATCCACCACAGCCCGGTTGGTCGGCACTCTTTGGAGGAAACAATCTAGTTTCCTCTTGAAGATGTCCACGGTTATTCCGGCAATATTTCTTATGCTCACTGGAAGGGTGTTGAACAACCGTGGACCTCTGATATTTATACAGTGTTCTCTGATTGTGCCTATGGCACCCCTGCTCTTCACTGGTTCTATTCTGCATTTTATTCCATATTGTTCACTTGCACAGCGCAGGACAGTGCACGGAGAGAAGAAACAATCATGAAAGAACGAAACAAGATCAAAAAACCAAGAAGAAGCATGGAGGAGGACCAACAAACCCTAGAAAGGACTGGAGGGAAGCCACACCGGAAGACGACAGATGTTCCAATAATACGGGAAGAAGAAAAAACCTTCCCGAACCTTCGAGAACACAGAAGCACGCGTAAAGCCTGAAGGCACAGAAGGCTCAGTTGCACCCGAGACCAAAAGTCATGCAGAACCCAGAGAAAAGGGGAACATGACAGTGAAGATTCGTCCCAAGAAGGGTAGAGAAACGTACCCACCGACAGGACGGAACCGTCGGATCCAAGGGACAAGGAACTGAACCCGGGGAGGGGCCAACTCCCAACAAAACGTACGGAGAGGGGGGAAGAAAACACACTCTTCGTAACTGCAAGCCCCACCCAGAGGGTAGAAAAACCCAGGCGGGGTCCAACGGGGCCTGAGGCCCCCCCAAGTCAGCCCATCACCAGCCCCGGGAACTCACAAGGCAGGTCCCGGGGCCAAGCTGTCTCCCCCAAAGCCCCAGCCACACAAGAAAAGCTGGGGCAGCCGGACAAGTACTAAGGAAGGGAGCCCACTGGCAGACTCATACAACACGGCTGTAGGTACAGGCTCGAATGACCCCGTCGCTACCCCGGAAGGGGAAGTTCCCGAGACCACCCGAGTCTCATGACCACCGAAGCTCCGTCCTGACTCCGAACAGATGATAAGGATCCGGATGCAGGGAGGAAGGGGTGACCATAACGGGAAAACCAAGGGTGCACAGAAGGAAGCAAATCAAAGCAACCAACACCCCGAAGCCCCAACACACCATCAAAAACAGGGCAGCCCTGGGGCTTCTGTGGAGCAAAACCTAGCGCGTTGCCACAAGCGAAACGCAATGTGCAATGCCCATGCTGCCTGTACCCGCATAGTCTTCATAAGACTGGGTAACAGTCACAAACAAGCAAAAACACTTGTAAGACTCAGGACCGAAGGTGCCACTGACCCCACAGGTGGCAGACGGAGGCAAAGACAGTGAGAATCACCCTGAGACAAGGGGACAGAGCAACCCTCGAACTTGCACAAAGTGAGGGGGGACTCTGGGTCACGTCCATCGAACCCACGCGTCCCCGTTTGGATTCCCAGTGCCCTGAGGCAGAATCACGTTCAGGGAAGCCCAGGCAAGGTACTACCAACCGGTGCCCAAGTATACCAAACAACCTTCTAAGAACTGAACCCCCGGGATGTGCACTCACGGGGACCTAGCAGGGAGAACCACCGGAAGAAAGAAGAGTACTCGGTACACAGGGGGCAAGAACCAAGGCAGACCCCCCACCAGGCAGACAAACAAAAAGAAAAAGAAAACCCCGCAAGAGGATAGCGT